TAGTCCGGACTGCTGAGCGAATCACTGGTACAACCCTCCCTTCTCTCCAAGGACTGTACTCATCCAGAGTGAGCAAAAGGGTTAGCAAAATCTCTCTGGACCCCTCACATCAAGCCCACTCCCTCTTTGAACTGTTGCCATTACCGAGCACCAGAACAGCCAGACACAGGAACAGCTTCTTCCCTCAGGCAATCCATCTCATGAACACTTGACAATAAACGTGGAACACACAACACTATTACACATTTATTTATTCAACATATACTTATTTACATTTCAAATTAGCAAATATCATACCTGTACATACATAATTGTCTATATTATATATTGCGTTTTTGCTATTTTGTACATTGTCTATTTTGTATATTTGTATATTCTTTTTATTATCTGTGTCCTGTCTTGTCACTGTCATTCTGTTGCACTGTGGAGCTTCTGTCACTAAAACAAATTCCTTGTATGTGGAACATACCTGGCAATAAAGCTGATTCTGATTCTGATAAATGTTGAGCAATTTCCCTTTTTCTTGAGGTCTCAGGTGGTTATCGAATAACAATGAACCAATGTTGTTGGTTTTTATTTTGCTAAACATTATTATTATTATTTATGCACCTCTTATTGTTATTATGTCTTGAAGTCACATCGTAGTGGGAGTTTATCTCTGTTATTTTTTTGTGAGCTGGACAGGACACTCCATACAATAACTTAGGAAGTAACACACCTACTCTAATGGGTGGAACCACAGATGCCAAAACAATGGTGTCCAAATCTGCTTCATAGTCTCTTGAGGCTTAAAACAATAGCCTTTCCTTAACTTGCAGCTCTTAAATTCATAATTATATATTTGGTAATTGACAGATTTCTATAGCTACTGACACATTGTAAGAATTACAGTTACTTTACTATTATTTTGCAAATATATCTTGTACAGACAAAGACAAACCATATATATATATATATATAGAGCCCTGCACGGGCCTCAAATATAGGCCCTAGCCAATCTTTTTTCCCCTTTTCCCAAAAAAGCTTATACTACTGTTTCAGCTATTAAAATAGTTCAGTTTTGTATGTAATGGAAAAGTGATTATATTTTGTTTCGTTTTTTTTTTATAAAGTTAATTTAGAAAAATGTTTGGAGCATTTTTTTTGTTTGTTAAATGTACGTTTTTTTTTTAAAGTAACTTAAAAGCGGCAGACAATGAATGGATCATAGCCTATATGTTTGATCAATTTAGCCTTCTCAAATCATCACGACTTGCCTAAAATAAAATCTATAGATATAAAACAGTTCAAGCATATCACAATGTTAGTTTAAATGTTTAAACTAGACAAATGTGTGCTGTTAGACTCCTATCCAATCTTTTGTGCAGAGAGTTGAAGCTAAAGCGCGCTCGGCAGCACATGGAGGCGCCAGCGCGATCACTTGCATTTTTTTCTAACAGTGGAAACAACTTAAAATACGTCATTTTTGCTCATAAAGGTAAGAGTAATACATCATTCTAAATTGTAACAGGTCTACTTTTATTTGTATGCACTCACAATATCAACAAAACGTTGTGCTTTTATAAAATAAAGAAAACAAACGCTTTCTGCCGTCTCGGTCTTGAAAAGGAGCGCTTCACAATGATGAACCTAAACTCAGCGAATTGCCTCACAGACATGATAAAAAATATATAGAAAGCTTTAAATTACTACTTTAAAACGAAATAATTCAAATTAGAAAATAGAAACTCTTTCATTATGTAATCCATGCATTTCTCTCTAAAGGCACGTCCAATGAAGCGATGGCGAGTCATTTTTTTTCATCACCATATGGATGTCTAAAATATAAAAATAAGGAAAAGCCTAAAACAGGCCCAATTATAATTTGTGTTTTATTTTATAATTCTGTACAATTAAATTATAATGGCATATATGCAAAACTTTGTCCTATAACTGTATAGCTGCTTATATTTTCTGATTTTTATGTTGCTCTATTCTGAATACCTTAAACTTTAAAGGATTTGCTGCAACGCAATTTTGTTTGACATGTGATTTATTTATTAGCCTATTTTTTTATTATTCATGCAGCAAATTCTTTACAAACAGCTTATTGCATTCCAGACGCTTTTAAAGTACTTTTCACTATAAATTTTACAGGTAGCTTGAATGTAAAACATTGTCATGAATTCGTTGTATTCCCATT